GGTTTTACCCTGACTAAAATTATTGCAGATTCAGTTTTTCATTGACTTTAAGCTGGAAATTTGCTTTTAAATCTTGTTTATCACGACTTTAAATGGTCAAAATATGTTGCAAATGCTGTTTTACTTGCGCTTTAAATGCTAATATTAGCTTCAAGAGCTTTTACTTGACTTTTTTTAACGGTAAATGCTGTTTTACCCTGACTAAAATTGGTAAAATTAGTTGCAGTCAGTTTTACATTGATTTTAAGCTGTAAATTTGCTTTTAAATCTTGTTAATCAAAACTTTAAATGGTCAAATTTGTTGCAAATTATGTTTGACTTGAGTTTTATGTGCTAATATTAGCTTCAAAAGCTTTTACTTGTCTTTTTAAATGTAAATGCTGTTTTACCTCGACTAGAATTTATAAAATCAGTTGCAGATTCAGTTTTTCATCAACTTTAAGCTGTAAAAATCGTTTTAAATCTTGTTTTATTAAGACTTTAAATGGTCAAATTTGTTGCAAATGCTGTTTTACTTGAATTGTAAGTGCTAATATTGGCTTCAAGAGCTTTTACTTGACTTTTCAACGGTAAATGCGGTTTTACCTCGTCTACAAATGGTAAAATTAGTTGCAGAATCAGTTTTTTTTATCAATATTAAGCTGTAAAAAAAGGTTTTAAATCTTGTTTATCATGACTTTAAATGGTCATATTTGTTGCAAATGTTGTTTTACTTGAGCTTAAGGTGCTAATATTGGCTTCAAGAGCTTTTGATTGACTTTTCAATGGTAAATGCGGTTTTACCCTGACTAAAACTGGTAAAATTAGTTGCAGATTCAGTTTTTCATTGACTTTAAACTGTAAATTTGCTTTTAAATCTTGTTTTATCATGACTTTAAATGGTCAGAGTTGTAGCAAATGCTGTTTTACTTGCGTTTTAAGTGCTAAAATTAACTTCAAGAGCTTTTACTTGTCTTTCCAATGGTAAATGCGGTTTTACCCTGACTAAAATTGGCAAAATTACTGCAGATTCAGTTTTTAATTGACTTTAAGCTGTAAATTTGCTTTTAAATCTTGTTTATCATGACTTTATATGGTCAAAATATGTTGCAAATGCTGTTTTACTTGCGCTTTAAATGCTAATATTAGCTTCAAGAGCTTTTACTTGACTTTTTCAGTTGGAAAATGCGGTTTTACCCTGACTAAAATTGGTAAAATTAGTTGCAGATTCAGTTTTTCATTGACTTTAAGCTGTAAAATATGTTGTAAATCATATTCTATCAAGACTTAAGATGGTAAAAGCAGCTTTAAGTGCTGTAATACATTGTCTTTATGTGGTAATAATGATAATATGTTTTCTGGGAGAAAATTCTGCTGCAATATTTTTGTTCTGCTCAGGATTTGGCTTACAAACCGCATCAGCAAAGTCTGCTTGAACTGCACTGACCGATAAATTGACTAAATTTACTCAGCCTGATCCATTTACTACATCTGCCTTAAATAGTTTGAGAAGAGTCACAAAACCTGATCAGATTACCGACAGACGGAGCGCATTGATTTTTCAGTGGAGGATTTTCTGAGACAGAAACTCAAAGCATCATATCAGAAACACAGACATTTAATCCACAAGTCTGATCTGAATTATTATAGAAATCAAATCCTTGTTTACTAAGGGAGCTGTACCAAGCTGAAGACCAAAACCTCCATTAATATTTACAGTATTAACATTGTATGAACTGTTTTCAATATTCAATATTTTGATTCATTATTTATGCTTTTAAAATGCATTATTGGACGCCGATCTTTCCTCCAACAACGTTTGAGGTTGCAAAGTTTGATGTATTGACATTTTTATTAGTATGATGTGGTATTTTGTCTGGCTTGGTGTTGTAAATTGCAGCACAAAAACCTGGTAATAAACTGCCAATTCTACTGTTATGTTACAGATGAATTCTCTATATATTATTTCTTATTTTTTCAAACTACCAATGTCGCTATATATACAGCTGAAGTCAGAATTTTTCGCCCCCTGTTTGTTTTTCCCCCAATTTGTGTTTAACAGAGAAGATTTTTTCAACACTTTTCATGCTACTGGATTTTCACTACAATGCAGACAGAACAAAACATCTACTGTAAAAAAAAAACAACACAAAACAATGTAGAGGAAAAAAAAGAAGAAGCTCAGATTACTTAGAAAACAGTGTCAGGGTTCTGCCACTCTGGTCTTGTAAACTCTTGTTGTGGTGGCAGAGCTCGGACACTACCCGTGTCTGGTCCTGTTTCTGTCTCTGTGTGCGCGCGCGCCGTCGTGGGTGTACGCAAAGTGTGCGCGCTCCTGCTTGACGTGGCCGCGCGCGCGCTTTGCGTCCCTCAGACTGGTGCGCTCTTGTACTCATGTTTGTGTTTCGTCTGTCAGCAGCGTGGTGTTTCATTCCCAGCGTCTCAATCTTGTTGGTTTCAGTTTTGGTCGGCGCTGGGATGAAGCATGCATGCTGCATGTGTGAGTGCACGGTGAGTGTTTTCATTCATCGTGTGCTCGTGTCTTGCGTCTTTTGTCAAAGCACGTGGCTCTGTGTTTACATTGTGGTCACGTGCTTTTGTCGTGTGCTTCAGTGTTGTGTTTGTGTTGTCATGAACATGCGGTTAATGAGTTCTCTCATTGGCTGCATGTTCTTGTCCTGTGTATGTGAGCGCATGGCTTGTCTCTTCTCTGTCATGCGCTCTCCCGTCTGTTGTCTTGTCCCACCCACCTTGTTATCTTGTTTGTAATTATTATTTTCACCTGTCCGCCTGTCTGTTTATTGGTTTGTCTTTCCTATTTATTCTCCTAGTGTGCTCTGTTCTGTGCTGGTCCGTTGTTTATTGTTTCCTTTCCCTGTTGTGTGAGGTATGCTGATTCCGGTTCTACAACAGTGGTTTAGAGTTTTGTGTCTTGCCTAGTTCTAGACCAAGTCTAGTTTAGTATATAATATAATGTCGTGTTTTTCCCCACAAGGGGAGATTTGAGTTTTGTTTTTGTTTTATTTTTCAATAAATTCTTCATTCCCCGCATTTGGGTCCTCGCCTCCTCTTCATCACCCCCATACCCTGACAAACAGCACAACCCCATATTAAACAGATCAGAAAAAAAGCATAATAACATTGCTTGTTTTTTCAGATAACAATACAGTTACAATATTCCTTTCAGCTTGATAGGGCAAAGACCAGGTTCCAAACAATCCAAATATGGAGTCCAAACTTTAAAAAAAGTGGCGCAGGTAGTGCTGTCGCCTCACAGCAAGAAGGTCGCTGGGTCGCTGGTTTGAACCTCAGCTCAGTTGGCATTTCTGTGTGGAGTTTGCATGTTCTCCCTGCCTTCGCATGGGTTTCCTCCGGGTGCTCCGGTTTCCACCACAGTCCAAAGACATGCGGTACAGGTGAATAGGGTAGGGTAAATTGTCTATAGTGTATGAGTGTGTGTGTGAATGTGTGTGGATGTTTCCCAGAGATGGGTTGCAGCTGGAAGGGCATCTGCTGCGTAATAACTTGCTGGATAAGTTGGCGGTTCATTCTGCTGTGGTGACCCTGGATTAATAAAGGGACTAAGCCGACAAGAAAATGAATGAACTTTGAAAAAATGCTCTGTTTTTTGTGTAAAACATGGGTGAGATGTTCCAGAGGAATTAACTCAAAAGTTATCTTGTGCCAACCTTTAAGTGATGGGGCTTTATCAATAACACAATTAAGTAAAGTATTGTTTCTGGCAGCAAAGGTTAATATATGATACAGTTTCTTATTAGCTGATGAAGAAATGCGTCCATTAGGTATACCCAAAATCAATGAAACTGGGTCAAAATCTAATGGCATATTGAAGATATTTTCAAATTTTCCCCATTATCAAGGACCAGGGGCCTCATGTACGAAGACTTGCGTTGAAATCATACTAAAAAATTGCGTACGGACAAACTGTAAATGTGCGTACGCAGTAAAAAATTCAGATGTATGAAACACTACATATGCAGAATCCCACACATTCTCTTTGTACATCCAACACAATCTCACGGCAATTCGTAACTTTTTCATTTAGTGGCTAATTCGTATGAATTCGTAAGATCTAATTCGTACAATTTAGTACGATTTGCTTATCCCCCAATGATGGTTGGGGTTAGAGGTGGGGTCAGGTGCCACGCCTCCTTTTTAAAATCGTACCATTTCGTACGACTGAACTCGTACGAATTCGTACGAATTAGCCACTAAACTGGCAAAACGTAAAATACTTACGTTTTCTCGTGAGATCAGGCTGGTACATCCAACTTAACGTGAAACTGAGCGCAACATGCACGAGCGCAAAACCCCTCCCTGCCTCCTCCCCTGTATAAATATGCTAATGACTCTACGTTGGCAAAACCAATTGAAAAAGCAACGGCTAAAGCAAGCAAGAAGAGAAACTTCACAGAATGTGAATTGGAGGTGCTCCTGTCGGAGGTAGACCAGAGAAAAACTGTGTTATTTAGCAAGTTTGTCCTCGGGAATTAATAACAAAAGAAACAAATCGACTGGGAGAGTTTAGCTGACGCGGTTAATGCAGTGGGGTCTGAACATCGCGCTGTGAGGGAATTAAAAAAGAAATGGTCCAATGTAAAGGTGTAAAATTTTGTAGTGTCTACAGCAGCGTGAGTGGTGTAGCTCGTAAAGCGCATGGCAACATGTTTTGACAGGATCAATCATGAACCCGAATCCAGCGTCTGTTGAACTTATTTTTCTTTTTTTCCCCATTACATATCAGATATTGCCCACTCTTCATCACAAGGAACACAAGTAGGAATCATTAATAAGTGTGTATTATGTGAAGCGCATTTGAGCATCACATGTTATTTGCACATTTATTGAATGGAAATGTTTCTTATCCTTGTTGCAAACTACATTCTCGCCTCAAAAAGCTTCAAAACGCTTAAAAAGTACATGATGCTGTCCAACAGCTGCAATATTTGTCAAACTGTAGTTATAATTGCAGTACTTGACTTTTTTTGTTCTTTTCCCAGCATGCAGTAGAAGCGGTTAGCACTGGAGTGAGTCCTATTGGAGACGCGTCCTATAACTCCAGCCAGTGGGATCTCGGCAGCGCTTTCTTCTTCGCTGGAACCGTCATCACTACAATCGGTGAAGTATACTACAGTAAAGTACAGTAATGGTTTGTTTCCACTGACTGGTACAGTACGGTACAGGTCACCTTTATCAGGCTTGCTTTTCCATTACCAAGGGTACCCTTTTGGTGGGCGTGGTGTACGACATAAAGTTTAAGTCGACATTATGCTCGCTCGAGAAAATGTCTACAGTAAAGCTGTACGGGTCGCTCACATATCATACGAGAAGCACTTCTCACAAAATAGATGCTTTATACACTCAAATATTTCTGTATAAATGTTCATTACTAACTATTCTATGAACAGGAGTTGATTATAACTGCAGATCAATGACAGTGCGAAATAGTCTACTCTAACGTCTGTAATTATATAAAATAAATAAATAAATTAACAAATATCAACACGTACAGACACTTAAGCCGCCTTTCCACTGCACACGACATTTGGGCATGACTGTCGGATTACGCCCCCTTGTGGCAGTCACACAGAATTTTCAGTTCTGACGTGCACCATGGGAGAGAAGCTAAAGTAAAGTAAGTAAAAGAGTGCAAAAGCAAGAGCCTTTATTCTCTTCTGTTTACCATGGTTGAATGAATGAATGAATACTAGAAACTCATAGACCGCTAACATATTGGGGGGGATGTGGAGACAACATAAAACACATTTTTATTACTTACATTTATGAACTGAAATGTTTTTTGTTTATGATTTTTTCTAATTCAAAATATAACCAAAAAGCTAGTATTTCTCATCTCGCGCGCACAGACCTGCTTGTACAACACTGGATTACATTATATCCAGTGGGCCGGTCGCATACGGTCTAGTCGCAGGAGTTTAAATATTTCAACGCATCCGCAGCTCAAATCAGATCCGAATTTTCCGCTTACGGATATGATCGGAACTGCCCGCAGCTCCCGATCTACTCTCCATCGGAAATGAATGACTTCCGGACTGTCGCTTGTCTTGTGCAGTGGAAAGGAGGCTTTACAGTCTCTGATATGTTACAACTACAAAAAAACAACACACAGCATACATTTAGTCCTTATTTATGTTCAAAAACAACACAAAGTATAGCCCACAGTCAGTGAAAACCACTTATCTGTGTCTTCAGCAATCTTCAGCAGCACATGTAGCCTCTGTTACAGAGTCATTCTGAGTCCATATTAGTCCAAAAGATGATGATAATAGTTAAACATGGCAGTTTGTTCATGTTTGTTGAAGAAATAATATGCTCCTTTTTCAACCCAAGCTCATTCTTGAAACCTGCTGACATTTCTGGAGACAGCGATTTACGTGGCCGGAGGTACGTACGTGTGGGTGCTCCCGCGAAAACAAAACCCCGTACCTCCCGGGCGATTCTCGCAGTCCGCAGAAACATCCACTGGGCTACGTTTCCACAATGAGCCCGGGTTGTCCTTTTTTTCGCGCTTCACTCCCGCATTAAAATTTGACAGGTTCGTGTTTCAAAAGCACGTCAATAATCAAGCGCACGTTTTTATCATCAGCTCAAGAAGTTTGTTATTTTAGATATAGATGCACAGTGAGCGCAAGCAAGAAAGCGAAACTGCTCGCGCTTTATACTGGCTCGTCAAAAACTAGGGGGCACAGGGTAAATCTGCTCTTCTTCTTGGCTTTGTTTGTTTGTTTGTTGTTGTTGTTTGAGCCCAGATCGACCATGGCTCGTTATTATATGTATATATAATTCAGCTGTAATCTCTCGGCTGTGTATTTAAAACATGACGGCTCTTTTGTTTTCATTCTGGCTTTTTGCGTAAGCTCGTGACGTATCTCTGTAAACCAATAGCGTTCAGCTGCTTGTCTAGCTCCACCTTTTGGTAACCTTCTTGTGTTTGGTACCCTTTCAGAGAAGTGACAATAAAGTAGTATTGTCCGGTACACCGTTTGACAGTGGAAACGGCCATAAAAGTGTATCAAACCAAACCGTACCGTACCACTCAGTGGAAACAGGTCAAAATGCATCTTAAGATATATACACATACCTGCCCTGATGCCTAGCAACACTAGTAAAGAGTTTGGTGAACAAAAAGCAAGCAACACAACTAATGACCATCCTTAACACTGGTGATTGTACATATAAACTGCAAGACATTATTATTATCATCATTATATTATTATGGGGTTGGTCAGTTTGATTGCGTAATTTAATTTAGGACAACTAATGGCCATTTCTGTGTGGAGTTTGCATGTTCTTCCCGTGTTCAATTCAATTCGATTCAGCTTTATTTGTATAGCGCTTTTACAATGTAGATTGTGTCAAAGCAGCTTCACATAAATGGTCATAGTAACTGGATCAGTGTAGTTCAGTTTTTAGTGTTTAAGTTCAGTTCAGTTTAGTTCAGTTCAGTGTGGTTTAAAGTCATTACTGAGAGTCCAAACACTGAAGAGAAAATCCATCGATGCGTAGCTCTCGATAACACACCATGCAAACCAGTGGCGACAGCGGAGAGGGAAAAAAAAACTTCACTGATAGGAGAGTGAAGAAAAACCTTGAGAGAAACCAGACTCAGATGGGCACGACCATTTTAATTTCTCCGCTGGCCAAACGTCTTGTGTAGAGCTGCAGTCTCAGGAAGCTGGCCTCAGCGAAGACTCGTCTGTCCCTGGAGCGTCACTGGAATCAGTCTCATGCTCTCCACTCCCCCATGACCACCAGTGCAGCAGCAGCTCAGGATACGGCCTGGTCCAGGATATGGACACCTTGGGATCATCACGTCGCTGGTCTTGGATCCAATCAGTGACTCCGCATAATCAGAGGACCTCGGGATGAGTATCCCCAAGTGAAAATGGAGAAAAAAGAGAACAATTAGCGTAGCTGCTGTTCATAGTGTATATAAGCAAGATGCAGAAACCTGCATGGAGACCCGCTAAGTGATGAGTGTATGCTTTACTAAACAGATAGGTCTTTAATCTAGTTTTGAACTGAGAGAGTGTGTCTGAGCCTTGGACATTATTCCAGAGTTTAGGAGCCATAAAGGAGAAGGCTCGACCTCCTTTAGGGCACTTTGCTATTCTAGTTACCACCAGAAGCCCTGAGTCTTGAGATCTTAAAGAGCGAGTTGTATTGTAGCGAGACAGAAGGTTGGTTAGATAAACAGGAGCTCGATTATTTAGAGCTTTATAGGTGAGAAGTAATATTTAAAATTCAATGTGAAACTGAACAGGCAGCCAGTGTAAGGAGGATAAAATTGGGGTGATATGATCATATTTTCTAGACCTGGTCAGAACTCTGGCTGCGGCATTTTGTGCTAACTGAAGTTTGTGAATAGAGGATGCTGGGCAGCCAGCAAACAGAGCATTACAGTAATCCAGCCTAGAAGTCATAAAAGCATGGACTAGCTTTTCTGCATCTGAGATGGACAGCATACTTCGTAATTAAGCAATATTTCTCAGATGAAAGAAGGCAGTTTTTGTGACATGGCATATATGGTTTTCAAAAGTTAGATTGCTGTCTAATATGACACCCAGATCTTTTATAGTAGAGCTAAAGCTAACTTTGTATCCCTCTAATTGTAGATTGAGTTGCGAGATTTGCTGTGTACAGGATTTAGGCCCAATAAGTAACAATTCTGTTTTGTCTGAGTTTAAGAGAAGAACATTGTTGGTCATCCAGTCTTCAACATCTTTAATACACTCAGTTATCTCAGACAGTTCAGCCATCTCTTCAGGTTTAGTTGAAATATCTACTGTGTTGGCGTGGGTTTCCTCCGGGTGCTCCGGTTTTCCTCACAGTCCAAACACATGCGCTATATGGTAATTAAATAAGCTCAATTGGCCATAGTGTATGAGCGTGTATGTGAATGGGAGTGTGTATGGGTGTTTTCCAGTACCGGGTTGCAGCTGGAAGGACATCCGCTGCGTAAAACATATGATGGAATAGTTGGCGGTTCATTCCGCTGTGGTAACCCCTGACAGATATGGAACTAAGCCAAATGAAAATGAATGAATTGAAGCCTTTTTAAGGATCCGCGGACTCACTGACTCAATGTGCAGCACTGATCTTCATGCAACTAATCACAGAACACAGGCAACTTTCTGCACTGATGAGTTTGCATGTGTCTAAACTTCTGTTTCGTCCAGCGATCTGTAATTACTGCCAAGTCCTCTCGCTAGAAGCCTCCAATTGTCTGTGTCTCTATGCAGTTTTAATAGAGGGGAGTTAAATAAGCTGTTGTCTTGTTCGCCCACATGGACAGGCTATGGAAACATCGCTCCCAGCACTGAGGGCGGCAAGATTTTCTGCATCCTTTACGCCATATTTGGCATCCCTCTGTTCGGCTTCCTGTTGGCCGGGGTCGGGGATCAACTGGGCACGATGTTTATGAAGAGCATCCTGAGGGTGGAGAAAGTTTTCAGGGTGAGTCCACTGACTTATGACTGGTTTACTGATGACTGACAACTGCTTATTAGCAGACCCACACGCAATCTGTCACCTTTAATGCTATCTATTTTTTTTACTTGTACATATACACTCACCGGCCACTTTATTAGGTACACCTGTCCAAATAATATAATTAATGAATTGTTAGAAAATGTCTTATTTATGTTACGTTTATACATTTAATTCGTTGTTTATAAATGTCTAAATTACATTTGTATGAATTCTTCTGTCACTCTTTACAGCAAAAGCACAAGCAAATCAGTCAGACCAAAATCCGCGTGACCTCCACCATCCTCTTCATCATCGCCGGATGCATCGTTTTTGTCACCATCCCAGCGGTGTTTTTCAAGCACACAGAGGGATGGAGTACATTAGACGCCATTTACTTTGTCGTCATTACGCTCACGACCATCGGCATTGGAGATTATGTTGCAGGTAAGTCCACATTTCACCCAGTAAAATCAAGAGATTCAAGAACATACAGTATGTTCTTAAATTAACTTACCACATGACTGTGGAATGCTTGATTCTGATTGGCTTGTGTGCCGATATTTTCAGATAAATGCACAGGTAAAGTAGTTCCGGCAGGTTCTGAGCGCATTACAGCTCCAAAACACAACTGAAGGCTTTAGAGATGTGTGAGAAACTAGCGCTACACACAGGAGCAGTTTGAGGACAAAAACCTAAAATACAAAATCTGAACGGTGGAGCAGCTGTGGAGACCAGAGGAGAAGCAGAATTATTAGGGAAGGAGATGAAGGAAAATTAAAGGGGAGGTGCTATTAGGGAAGGGGAGGAGCTGATGATAAAGGGATGGGAGCTGCTGATAAAGTGGAGGAGCTGTGGGTGTAGGGGAGGAGCTGCTGATAAAGGGGTGGGGCTACTGGAAAAGGGGAGGAGCTGCTGATAAAGGGGTTTAACTACTGGCGAAGGGGAGGAGCTGCTGATGAAGGGGTTCAACTACTGGTGAAGGGGAGGAGCTGCTGATAAAGGGGTTCAACTACTGTCGAAAGGGAGGAGCTGCTGATAAAGGGGTTCAACTACTGGCGAAGGGGAGGAGCTGCTGATAAAGGGGAGAAGATGCTAGTGAAGGGGAGGAGTTGCTAATAAAGAGGCGGAGCTGATGAGGAAGAGTAGGAGCTGATGGGGAAGGGGGGAGCTGCTGATAAAGCAATGGAACTGCTGGTGAAGGGGAGGAGCTGCTGAAAAAGAGGTGGAGCTACTGGGAAAGGAGAGGAGCTGCTGATAAACGAGGGGAGCTGCTAGTAAACTGAACTGCAGGGGAAGGGGAGAAGCTGCTGATAAAGGGGTTCAACTACTGGCGAAGGGGAGGAGCTGCTGATAAACGGGTTTAACTACTGGCAAAGGGGAGGAGCTGCTGATAAAGGGGTTCAACTACTGGTGAAGGGGAGGAGCTACTGATAAAGGGGTTCAACTACTGGTGAAGGGGAGGAGCTGCTGATAAAGGGGTTCAACTACTGATGAAGGGGAGGAGCTGCTGATAAAGGGGTTCAACTACTGGCGAAGGGGAGGAGCTGCTGATAAACGGGTTTAACTACTGGTGAAGGGGAGGAGCTACTGATAAAGGGGTTCAACTACTGGTGAAGGGGAGGAGCTGCTGATAAAGGGGTTCAACTACTGGCGAAGGGAAGGAGCTGCTGATAAAGGGGTTCAACTACTGGTGAAAGGGAGGAGCTGCTGATAAAGGGATTCAACTACTGGCGAAGGGGAGGAGCTGCTGATAAAGGGGTTCAACTACTGGCGAAGGGGAGGAGCTGCTGATAAACGGGTTTAACTACTGGCGAAGGGGAGGAGCTGCTGATAAAGGGGTTCAACTACTGGCAAAGGGGAGGAGCTGCTGATAAAGGGGTTCAACTACTGGTGAAGGGGAGGAGCTGCTGATAAAGGGGTTCAACTACTGGCAAAGGGGAGGAGCTTCTGATAAAGGGGTTCAACTACTGGTGAAGGGGAGGAGCTGCTGATAAAGGGGTTCAACTACTGGTGAAGGGGAGGAGCTACTGATAAAGGGGTTCAACTACTGGTGAAGGGGAGGAGCTGCTGATAAAGGGGTTCAACTACTGATGAAGGGGAGGAGCTGCTGATAAAGGGGTTCAACTACTGGCGAAGGGGAGGAGCTGCTGATAAAGGGGTTTAACTACTGGCAAAGGGGAGGAGCTGCTGATAAAGGGGTTCAACTACTGGTGAAGGGGAGGAGCTGCTGATAAAGGGGTTCAACTACTGGTGAAGGGGAGGAGCTACTGATAAAGGGGTTCAACTACTGGTGAAGGGGAGGAGCTGCTGATAAAGGGGTTCAACTACTGGCGAAGGGGAGGAGCTGCTGATAAACGGGTTTAACTACTGGCGAAAGGGAGGAGCTACTGATAAAGGGGTTCAACTACTGGTGAAGAGGAGGAGCTGCTGATAAAGGGGAGAAGATGCTAGTGAAGGGGAGGAGTTGCTAATAAAGAGGCGGAGCTGATGAGGAAGAGTAGGAGCTGATGGGGAAGGGGGGAGCTGCTGATAAAGCAATGGAACTGCTGGTGAAGGGGAGGAGCTGCTGAAAAAGAGGTGGAGCTACTGGGAAAGGAGAGGAGCTGCTGATAAACGAGGGGAGCTGCTAGTAAACTGAACTGCAGGGGAAGGGGAGAAGCTGCTGATAAAGGGGTTCAACTACTGGCGAAGGGGAGGAGCTGCTGATAAACGGGTTTAACTACTGGCAAAGGGGAGGAGCTGCTGATAAAGGGGTTCAACTACTGGTGAAGGGGAGGAGCTACTGATAAAGGGGTTCAACTACTGGTGAAGGGGAGGAGCTGCTGATAAAGGGGTTCAACTACTGGCGAAGGGGAGGAGCTGCTGATAAAGGGGTTCAACTACTGGTGAAAGGGAGGAGCTGCTGATAAAGGGGTTCAACTACTGGCGAAGGGGAGGAGCTGCTGATAAACGGGTTTAACTACTGGCGAAGGGGAGGAGCTGCTGATAAAGGGGTTCAACTACTGGCGAAGGGGAGGAGCTGCTGATAAAGGGATTCAACTACTGGCGAAGGGGAGGAGCTGCTGATAAAGGGGTTCAACTACTGGCGAAGGGGAGGAGCTGCTGATAAACGGGTTTAACTACTGGCGAAGGGAAGGAGCTGCTGATAAAGGGGTTCAACTACTGGCAAAGGGGAGGAGCTGCTGATAAAGGGGTTCAACTACTGGTGAAGGGGAGGAGCTGCTGATAAAGGGGTTCAACTACTGGCAAAGGGGAGGAGCTTCTGATAAAGGGGTTCAACTACTGGTGAAGGGGAGGAGCTGCTGATAAAGGGGTTCAACTACTGGTGAAGGGGAGGAGCTGCTGATAAAGGGGTTCAACTACTGGTGAAGGGGAGGAGCTGCTGATAAAGGGGTTCAACTACTGATGAAGGGGAGGAGCTGCTGATAAAGGGGTTCAACTACTGGCGAAGGGGAGGAGCTGCTGATAAAGGGGTTTAACTACTGGCAAAGGGGAGGAGCTGCTGATAAAGGGGTTCAACTACTGGTGAAGGGGAGGAGCTGCTGATAAAGGGGTTCAACTACTGGTGAAGGGGAGGAGCTACTGATAAAGGGGTTCAACTACTGGTGAAGGGGAGGAGCTGCTGATAAAGGGGTTCAACTACTGGCGAAGGGGAGGAGCTGCTGATAAACGGGTTTAACTACTGGCGAAAGGGAGGAGCTACTGATAAAGGGGTTCAACTACTGGTGAAGAGGAGGAGCTGCTGATAAAGGGGTTCAACTACTGGTGAAAGGGAGGAGCTGCTGATAAAGGGGTTCAACTACTGGCGAAGGGGAGGAGCTGCTGATAAAGGGGTTCAACTACTGGCGAAAGGGAGGAGCTGCTGATAAACGGGTTTAACTACTGGCGAAGGGGAGGAGCTACTGATAAAGGGGTTCAACTACTGGCGAAGGGGAGGAGCTGCTGATAAAGGGGTTCAACTACTGGCAAAGGGGAGGAGCTGCTGATAAAGGGGTTCAACTACTGGTGAAGGGGAGGAGCTGCTGATAAAGGGGTTCAACTACTGGCGAAGGGGAGGAGCTACTAATAAAGGGGTTCAACTACTGGTGAAGGGGAGGAGCTGCTGATAAAGGGGTTCAACTACTGGTGAAGGGGAGGAGCTACTAATAAAGGGGTTCAACTACTGGTGAAGGGGAGGAGCTGCTGATAAAGGGGTTCAACTACTGATGAAGGGGAGGAGCTGCTGATAAAGGGGTTCAACTACTGGCGAAGGGGAGGAGCTGCTGATAAAGGGGTTTAACTACTGGCAAAGGGGAGGAGCTGCTGATAAAGGGGTTCAACTACTGGTGAAGGGGAGGAGCTGCTGATAAAGGGGTTCAACTACTGGTGAAGGGGAGGAGCTACTGATAAAGGGGTTCAACTACTGGTGAAGGGGAGGAGCTGCTGATAAAGGGGTTCAACTACTGGTGAAAGGGAGGAGCTGCTGATAAAGGGGTTTAACTACTGGCAAAGGGGAGGAGCTGCTGATAAAGGGGTTCAACTACTGGTGAAGGGGAGGAGCTGCTGATAAAGGGGTTCAACTACTGGTGAAGGGGAGGAGCTACTGATAAAGGGGTTCAACTACTGGTGAAGGGGAGGAGCTGCTGATAAAGGGGTTCAACTACTGGCGAAGGGGAGGAGCTGCTGATAAACGGGTTCAACTACTGGCAAAGGGGAGGAGCTTCTGATAAAGGGGTTCAACTACTGGTGAAGGGGAGGAGCTGCTGATAAAGGGGTTCAACTACTGGTGAAGGGGAGGAGCTACTGATAAAGGGGTTCAACTACTGGTGAAGGGGAGGAGCTGCTGATAAAGGGGTTCAACTACTGATGAAGGGGAGGAGCTACTGATAAAGGGGTTCAACTACTGGCGAAGGGGAGGAGCTGCTGATAAAGGGGTTCAACTACTGGCGAAGGTGAGGAGCTGCTGATAAAGGGGTTCAACTACTGGCGAAGGGGAGGAGCTACTGATAAAGGGGTTCAACTACTGGGGAAGGGGAGGAGCTACTGATAAAGGGGTTCAACAACTGGTGAAGGGGAGGAGCTACTGATAAAGGGGTTCAACTACTGGCAAAGAGGAGGAGCTGCTGATAAAGGGGTTCAACTACTGGCGAAGGGGAGGAGCTGCTGATAAAGGGGTTCAACTACTGGTGAAGGAGAGGAGCTGCTGATTAAGGGGTTCAACTACTGGCGAAGGGGAGGAGCTGCTGATAAAGGGGTTCAACTACTGGTGAAGGAGAGGAGCTACTGATAAAGGGGTTCAACTACTGGTGAAGGGGAGGAGCTGCTGATAAAGGGGTTCAACTACTGGCGAAGGGGAGGAGCTGCTGATAAAGGGGTTCAACTACTGGTGAAGGGGAGGAGCTACTGATAAAGGGGTTCAACTACTGGTGAAGGGGAGGAGCTGCTGATAAAGGGGTTCAACTACTGGTGAAGGGGAGGAGCTACTGATAAAGGGCTTCAACGACTGGTAAAGGGGAGGAGCTTCTGATAAAGGAGAGGAGCTGCAAGTAAAAAGGAGGAGCTGCTAGTGAAGGGGAGGAGTTGCTGATAAAAGGGCGGAACTGCTGATAAAGTGGTGGAACCTCCTGATATACAGGAGGAGTTTCTGAGGAAGGGGAGGAGCTATTTGTTGGTTAAGGTTGGATTACTGTATATAATCTGGCTGGTGCAATCAAAAATCATCAACAGACATGATTGTGAGTGCCGTTGTACTCATGACAGGTACTATTCATTACTTTTCAACATCGTCTTGGAAATTATTTGTACTTCTGGGTGGTCTTAGATTTCCACTGGTGATGAACTAAACTTAAACTCTACACAGTTAAGTTTATAAATGCAGAAGTGCTTTAGTGTGTCATTTGGGATGCATTTTATTGGGATGATTATCTTACTTGCCTATTTTGTGTTATTTGTGGATGTTTAAATTCCTTATGTAATCCAAAGCCCTCATTATTTCTAGGAGGAGATCGGAAAATTGAATACATGAAATGGTACAAGCCTCTGGTGTGGTTCTGGATTTTGGTGGGTCTGGCGTACTTTGCAGCAGTTCTCAGCATGATTGGAGATTGGCTCAGGGTTCTGTCCAAGAAAACAAAAGAGGAGGTAAGACCTGCCAAACACAAATGATGAAAGTGCAGTGCAATATATTGATCTGCAATACCCAATACGGCATTATTGTATTTCATGGCATCTGCCGAGCATTAGTCGATTGGCTCCTGTTGTTAATGCATCTTGGTTTGTCAATAGTTAACATGGTTATATATTCCTTGATTGTATTAGTAAAGGTAACTTTAAATTATTGATCAATCTTAGGAGACTTGGAGATGCTGACTTTAGACTTTGACTTTAAAATAGAAAATTCTGTTTTGCGTTGATTTCAAATAGTAAATTCTAGGGGTGTAACGATACACTTAGCTCACGATACAATGTGTATCACGATATAATGTTCACGATTCGATATGTATCACAATATTTGGAATAAAAATTGAAAATTAAACTGAAATGCAAATTTTTTTTTTTATTTAATTACCAAGTAAACTATTTTTTATGTATTTCTTTTGTTTCAACTTGTTAAACTGAACCTTCTTTATGAAAATAAATTAAACAGGACTGTCTCTGGAAAATAAAACAATTTAAAAACTTCTTATAAAATATTATTGAAATGATTCAATTCAATTGAATTTAACAGTAAGAGCTTAAAGGTTCAGGACACCCCGGAGAACTTTTTTTTTTATATTAACAGATGTGTGTGTGTGTTGAGCATCAGTTAAGACAATGTTAGCACCAGTCAGCTTTAATTGTGGGGAAAACAGGATTCCGGGTTTAAAATGATTTTTGGGGCGGGATCAAAATCGGCGACGTAGCGCAGAACTGCAAGTGCAATGATGACGCGTCGGTTTCTCATTATTATTCATAGCGGAGTTTTCTTATCCTATGAGAAGAGCCGGCTGCTTAATTATTCATGAGACCTGCCAGACCTGCCAGAGTCAAGCCCGAGCTGAGAGACACGGAAACCACGGCACAGTATTTAGCCGTTCATGAAGGCTCATATGTGTTTGTTTCCATCATCCACGGGGTTTGTTGCATGTTTTCCCCCGCGATCTTGTCAGGGCCGATCATACAGCAAAGCTGTGTGTGTACTGCTAGCATTTTTGTCAGGAGAGCAGCACGAGAATTAGAGAATGGCGGACGCTGTCTTTTATCAGGAGTTCGTTCACATTCAGACACATCACTGTGCTGCTGTGTTTGCCTAAATCCTCCAGATTACCAGCAGGGCTAATAGTTAAAATAGACAGGTCAGGAGACCTGCTGCACTGAGTCTGCTGGATACGGGGATTGAGGGAGAGTCCTCATTTATAGTGTTTACATGAACACACTTATCTTTATAATGATATAAATTGTGGTTGTGTGTATATGAAATTATGAATAACAAATGTAGCAGGGCATTAAATCACTGTTCATTTCTTTGCATTTTAACTTTGTGAACTATAAACTCATGCGTCTCCTCACGGTTTGTCTCATTTTGTGAGCTAGCTTCGTTCGCTCACGTTCTCCCCTGCTGGCCACGCCCACTCCTGCCCGATGCTCGCGGAGCTCCGCCCATTAATCATGCATCTTTTGAAAAAATTCTGAAGTAGACTTTAACCGAAAGTGGGGGGTGTCATGGCCCTTTAAGGCTTTGCTTGGTCACTTGTGTTTTTTGTGTGTGCAATCTACATTTCCAGGTAATCAGCAGTTCTATAAGATAATCCTGAACTGATGTGTATCTGTCTGAGAGGTTTTTATGGATGACTGTCTTCATGTTGGGCATGATGAGTGACAGGGTGGCCGTCTTTTCATTTCACAGGACAGTCGTGACTCTTTTCAGCAGTTTAGGCTGGTTTACTATTTCTTTGGCGTCGCTGATGTCGGTGCTATCAAGTGTATCATGTTGACGTGTATTTTTGTGTGCCTCTGTTCTCAAAAGAGTTCATGCTCGTCGTAATCATAACTCTAAAATGCGCTATGATTGTTTAAATAATGTGCACGCTTTCGGTTTCATTTCCACTGCTGTTCATACTTCCCACGCGGCTCCTGAACCATCACTCTGTTCCACAAACTGAATGTTGCTTACTGTTTTATTACCTGTTCGTCGCAACCTGCAGGTTCTGTTCACTGAAGCAGACGCGCGCGCCTATCATAGTCCACTGTAGTAGCAGCTCACGGTCAGCTCACGTCATGTGTGATTTTGCGGCCGCCAATACATCATTATATGAAGACAGAATGATATTTTAGGGTGAATTGTACCTTATAAATACAGTATGTGACTCTTTCAACACCATTAGGAGGTATTCATGTCGCTGTGCAAAGTATCTAAATCACTGGGAAGACTTTAAAACTTCGGCTATGTTTGACCCAGTATGCGTGTCAAAAAGCAGACGAGTCTAAAGCAATGACTGTACAACCGAAATGTTGCCAGACGTCTGATTTTGAGAGGATGAGCCATCCTCTATTTCAGCTCCACTCATCTTGGTCTGCTAACACTACTGCTGCTGCAATCTGAACTCTCGTGCGACAGCAGGTGGAACGTAGCTCACATGCAAACAGCTTAACTAATAAGAGAAAACGGACGTCATATCGTAATAAAATCGGCATAACGGCACGATGCATATTGTGACATTTTTGCATCGCAATAAATCGTACAACGATAAATCGTTACACCCCTAGTAAATTCTGTATCAAATGCTGTTTTACATTCATTTTAAATGCTAAATATAATTACATATTGAGTGCAAATAGTTAAAAGTGGTAGAAAATCTTGTTTTTTGTTAGTTTTAAATATTAGCTTTTGTTGCAGATAATAGTAAAATTTAACAGTTGTTTTTGTACAGTGTACACATTAGCTAAGCCACAACATTGGATTTGCACTTAAAACAGCACTCAAACATCTACTCAACTGTTTTTAAAAGCCATGTTCTCAATGCTCTTTATTCTTCTACAGGTTGGACAACAAGTTGGAGGCATTAAGGCTCATGCAGTGGAATGGAAAGCAAACGTCCGAGCAGAGTTACGTGAAACAAGACGCCGTCTTAGTGGAGAAATTCACGATAAACTCCAGCGAGCTGCGACTATTCGCAGCATGGAGCGCCGGCGTTTGGGTCTGGAGCAGCGTGCGCATTCGCTCGACATGCTATCGCCTGAAAAACGAGCGGTTTTTGCTAGTTTGGATGCCGGACGCTTCAAAACATCCTCGCAGGAGAGCATCGACACAAAACTCAACAACCTGCGCCTGAAGGCTAAATGCGGAGAGCAGCAGACGTCTTCAGAAGAAAACATCTTCAACCGCTTCGGCTCGCTCACTAAACTAGCCAAACGCAACAGGAGTAAAGACCTGCGCAGGAATATTCAGGAGGATCCAACTCAGATAGACGAACTCGACAACGTCACGCTGGGAGAAGAGAGACAGGAGGAGGAGGACGAGGACCAGATGGAGGAGGAGGAGGAGGAGAAGGTGGAAAAACAGGCCAACACTGGATTTACCTGTCTGCCGCACTATCCTGAGGAACCCAAACAGCAGAACGGTCTCGCACCCGCTCAGGTTAAGGAACAAGAGCGAAATAAAAGACTGGAGCTGAAGGAACACCAACCGTAGGCACACGATCACACCTGAAGGGCCAAATTCATACAGAATGTGTTTCATAAAGAGGCTGAGAGAGCTTTAAATGCACTGCAACATGAGAAAACACCCAAATAGACAAAACACCAGCATATAAAGAAAGCATCTTCATCGGTTTGATGTTGCACGTGTTGCATATCGTCACAAAGCAAACGCAAATAGAAAACAAGTTGCAAATCCTTACAACACATGCACACTTTCATCTGAAAAATACTAAACAAAAAGCAAGTTGACTGAAGTAAGCACGTTGTATTTATGTATATTATGCTGTCTTCTCAAGGGTGATGGCTCGGTGGTTAGCACTGTGGCCTCACAGCAAGAAGGTTGCTGGTTTGAGTACCAGCTAGGCTGGAGTTTGCATGTTCTCCTTGTGTTGGTGTGGGTTTCCTCCGGGTGCTCCGGTTTACCTCACAGTCCAAACACATGTGCTATAGGGGAACTGAATACACTAAATTGGTTGTAGTGTATGAGTGTGTATGGATGTTTTCCAGTACTGGGTTGCAGCTGTAAAAGGCATCCGCTGTGTCAAACATATGCTGGATCAGTTGGTGGTTCCCTTCGCTGTGGCAACCCCTGATAAATAAAGGGATTAAGCCGAAGGAAACTGAATGAATGAATGTTGTGTTCTCTAATATTAGCTTACTGAAAGAGCCTGAATAATTCTGAATTAAATGCCATTTATTTTGACTTTGTTTTTACAAATAAAGAAGCCCTGATAATTTATTGTCATTAACCTTGAATTTATATTTAGTTGAGAATTTTAAGGTAATTTACCGATTTTATTTAACAACGTTTCACAAGTTCACACTTACAGATGTTTCAGAATAAAGTGTATTTGGCGTGTTGTCCTGGAGAGGGCTCTGAGCTCAGGGAAGACACCCCAACTCGTGTTATCCCCCATATCAGGGAATAGGGAGGTGTTGGGATTCGAGCGAAGTGTCTAGCCCGGGCCCAGACGCTCCCCCTGGGTATATAATGTTTATGAGGTGAGGTGTCGGGGTGGTAGAGGAATGCTAAAGTCGTGAGATACTGCAGGTAGGACAGCTTAAGTAATTATAGGGGTTTGGTCTAATACTGATTGGATAATAGAATGATTGTCAATGACCAATTGAATTGCTGAAACATCTGTGCATGCTCCTCCCAAAATTTGTTTTAAGAGTTCACACTTAGCTGATGATAGATTATGAAGCATGTTTGGCATGCTGTCCCGGGAGAGAGCCCTGAGCTCAGAAGATCTTCGAGCCTGGGGCTCCCTCCCGTTTGCAGGGCGAGAGGGGAGTTTGAGCTCAGGTAGATCTGGAGTACTCCCCTGCTGTAGTAGCTAATGAACAGATAGTGATCGCTCTTGAGAGATTACTACTTACTAGGAGCATGTCTACGGTGCCGATTTGGATTAGTCAATTAACTTAAGTTGCATGTTTTTGGATGGTGGAAAGAAAGCGGGGAACCCGGGGGAAACCCACGTGAGGACAGGTAGAACGTGTAAACTCTGCACAGAAACATCGGCTGGCTTGGTAAGGACTAGAACCAGTGACGTTCTTGCTGTGAGGCAACAGTGTTAACCACTGGGCCACCGTGCCACCCATCTGGAGGAGGAGTAGGGATGAAAGGGGGGATTCTTCAAAATGAAGATGGCTGTTGTATGGAACTTAGGGTATTTATAGTAAATTAGGAATCGTCTGATTGGTGAATCACATATTGAATAATGCGGTACCGGCTGCAAGCAATCATAATCACATGATCCTCTCGAAATTAGTTTATAAATAAACTTCACTTATGAAACATCACTTAATCATCAGTTTATTCAATATTTAATATGCAAACGACAAAGGAATGATGTAATCAGGGTGTTAAAATAAACAAAAAAAGGTCACCAAGAAACTTGTTGACCAATCACTGCACAATATGCAAATCCCAGCCAGGTTTGTCACTTTTTTTCAAGCTCATCCCCTCGAAATATTTCCTTTGTGGTTCAGTCTATGTGCATGTATTGTGAGGATTTTCAGTGCCTTTGCTATTTGTGTTTGATTTGTGAGGATTTGCGGAGGATTTGTGCTGTCAAACAGATAATTAGATTATTTAGAGGTAATTAGATAATTAGAGGTAACACTTTATTTTGATCGTCCATTTGAGTATTAGTAGACTGTCTGCTTAATATCTGCTGATACTGCTCCTTTAACAGACATTTAACTGACTGTAAGAAACTTTGCAAGTACATACACTAACCCCAACCCCAATGCTGTGTTCACACCAGACGCGGAAGAAGCATCAAGCACGAGTGATCTACATGTTAAGTCAATGCAAACGCGCAAATAGACATCCTGTGGCGCGATACGCGGGAATGGCACGATATACGCGAATGGCGCATCGTGAATTCATCGTTTAGCGCAAATCGAATTCACAAGTCTGAACTTAAGCGGACATTCGCGCTGCATTAACCAATCAGAAGCTTGCTCTTGTGGGGGCGTGATTGTGACGTAGCGCCTGTTGTTGGTGTCCAGGGGGAAATCCTCCAGCCGACACTGACAACAGTTCATCAAACTGGGCTGGGCTCAGTCAGAAGCACCGCTGAAAGCCTCCATCATCCAGGTTCAGTTTCTAAAGGAGTTTATGAGCTCACAGAGCTGGATGCACCTCTGAAAGGATCTAGTAGACTCAGACACGGCTCCAAACGTATCAACACTGTTTTTCAGCCTTCATTAAGCACATAAAAACATAAATATTTTAATATATATAAATATTTTCATAATAGAATTCATGTTAGCTATTTCACCGAGCAGACAGAAGCCCTGCCCATCACGCGGATCCGGGTCTGTTCTGAAGTGAATTTGACGCGCGAATGAAGCGGATTTGACGCCTGAATGAAGTGAGTAAACTCTATTTACCCGGCTATTTACTTGCGAATAGCGTTCCGCGTCTGGTGTGAACACAGCATAACAGTCTACTTAGAATCTACTGAGAATTAGTTGGCATGTAGATGCAATGTAACTAAGTTTAACAAACGGACCATCAAAATAAAGAGTAGATTGCGTTTTTTCTATTTGCATGTGTTTTTGGAAGTTGCATTGTGTTGCGCTCTCTCGGGTACCATAGTTCATACACTCTCAGAAATGATGGTATAACTTTGGGTTCACTCTAAACTGGGAACTGCATCACTTGCTCCAGTTTACCCGGGGAATGTTTTTCAACCTCACAAGAATTTTCAGCTCTTGTTACTTTTTTTGAACTTGCTCAGAAGATGCGATTGAGACGAATCCCATGCTTTTGTAACAAATGCATCATTTCATGCCATTTGTGCAGTGATGATTTGCCTTTATTCATGCAAATATTTACTTTATATGTAACTTATTTGCATAAATACTTAATTCCATGATTGTTGTGAACGCAGCATAAGAGCTGTTGCTGTGGCGGCACCGTTTTAAAAGGTACACATTTGTTCCTAAAGGTTCCAGATTAACTGTCATTTATATATATCAGATACTTTAATCCAAAGTGATTTACAAATGAGGATAAAAGCACTACAACTCATCAGAGAGCAGCTGGATATAAATGCTATGACAAGTCGAAGTTATTTATTTATTTATTTAATTATTTATTTAATTTTGTATCAGTTTTATGTATTGGTATCTTAAAGATACATCTTAGTATACTGTAAAAACAATGGGCATGATTTTAATAGTTAAACTGTACAATGCTACCGTAAAAATCCATAGCCTGGTCAACACTACGTTTCATTAAAGAGCCCCTATTATACATTAAAAAGGGTCATATTTTGGTTTTAAGGGTGTTCAACAACAGGCTGATCTGCATGCAAGGTCAAAAAACACTTTTATAGTCTTATCATTTGCATTTATTTTTATCTAATTATCCCTAACGACTCCCATATGATTCAGAGAGCAGCAGTATATAAATGCTATGACAAGTTATTTATTTATTTATTTAATTATTTATTTAATTTTGTATCAGTTTTATGTATTGGTATCTTAAAGATACATCTTAGTATACTGTAAAAACAATGGGCATGATTTTAATAGTTAAATAAACTGTACAATGCTACCGTAAAAATCCATAGCCTGGTCAACTCTACGTTTCATTAAAGAGCCCCTATTATACATTGAAAAGGGTCATATTTTGGTCATATTTTGGTTTTAAGGGTGATCTGCATGCAAGGTCAACAAAACATTTTTATAGTCTTATAATTTGCATTTATTTTTACCTAATTATCCCTAACGACTCCCATTTGATTCGTTCAGTGATTCATTTGTTTCCAAACCCCTACTTAGCGTGAAGCTAATCTGCGCTGATTGCTCCGATGACAGCCTGTTGCGATTGGTCGACAGCGTTCAGCGCGAGACAGAGTGAAATTCCCACAATGGCTTATCAACAATATTGAAGTAGTCAGAGTGCAGAGTGTATGTGTGAGCAAACCTGCCAACACTCCTGTTTTTCTCGGGAGTCTCCTGTATTTTTGAACCATCTCCTTCCACCCACCCATTTTGTAATTCATCCCGAAAAACTCCCATAATTTATCCCAAAAAACTCACGTGATTCCAACCCAAAGCTATGACAAATGGCAGGGGAATGCAAGCTCACAAAAGCAATTAAATCCATAAACAAAGCAACAACACGTGGCATTAGACACAATATGAGAATATAAAGAGTTAAACAGACACACTACAAGTGGTTACAAGTAACAAAACACAATTAAATACATCAGTGGTTCTCAAACTGTGGTACGTGTACCACTAGTGGTACGCAGGCTTCCTTCTAGTGGTACGCAGAGGAATCCTACATGTCATGTATACAACCAACATATATTTAAAAATTTATCAAAAATGGTTCGAATATGAGTATGATGACATATAGCCTATATTTATGAGGTCCAAGCAACATTTCCAGGTTTTGATGAATAGGATACTAAAGGTTAACACTTTACATTTAAGTACAGCAGTTTTTTTTGTCTTTTTTTACTTTTTAAGAACAGTAACCTACCATTTTAATGAACCTTTAAAAGTACATATTACGTTAAACATTGACATATTATTTTGTTTGTTTGTTTGTTTTTACATATAAGCAGAGTACAGTTTTAATGTTACTATTTATAGTGTTTAAAGTGGCTGATAATATTAAATATTCTTAATAATAGTAGTTAATTTACCACGTTTTTGAACTGTGCAGAGCTGTAGCTGTTTTACTGGGCCTACTATGCTACTGTATTTCAATACCGATCATTATGGTGGTAGTTGGAGAAACAATTTTTTTCTGAGGTGGTACTTGATGAAAAAAGTTAGAGAATTACTGAAATACATCATTTGCAAGCTAGAGAAAACAAGGAG